CTTTACTTGAAACATCAATCTGTATAAAAGTCTATATTACTTTTCAAATGTCTGTTTCTCTTGTAGATTTTTTTTTAATAACATCCATAACACTTACTTTTGTAGAAATATATATTTTCAAAACTAAGACTTTGAGATCGTACTGCAATCAACTATGTGAAAAAAAATTTAGATAAGTTATCTACTGAAAATGAGATATTAGCGAAAAATGAATACATGAGTTCAATTGGTATTTTTTCATCACTAAATGCAAAAAAATATATATATATTTTATTTTATAGTCACATTTATATTTATTTTATTAAATTTTGAAAGGGTTTCATTCAATACTTTCGCATATGGCCCTAATTTCTATCGAGTCAGCCTTGTTAACGCTTGCTTGTAACTTGTATATGTAGGAAGATGATTTTGCTGAAAATTATTGTCTAGATTTGTGCCTAAACTTCGAATATTTTGTGATTATTTTCAAAAGAGATGAAGCAACTTCAAGCCATGAGGAAGGGGATAGTGTTGGTTCCTCCGCATTGGTCAATTCTACTAGGAAAGTGGATGTTATAATTATCGATGATTGATTTTGTCCATGACCGTTATAAACATGGTTGTCGCTTACAATTAATATTTGTATGTATTAGTAAGTTTATTAAACTAGTAATTGTCATGAACCATTTTGATAATTAGGTCATTAAGCATGTGGTGGTGTAGGAACAAATATATCATGTGTGCATGTGGCTTCAATTTAATTGTCAATTATGTTGCCTTCATTTTATATTTATAATTCAAGACAACAATTAATATAGTCAGATGTTTGAGTACGCAATATGAACCATGATTACTTTATTTTATATATTTTTGTATAAGGCAACGTTTAGTTAATGTTAATGTTTATGTAATTTCGGTGCTTGCATTCATTTGTTATTTAATTTTAGTATAATATTTTGGGTGAATCAAATATATCTGTGGTTGCCTTTTTAAAATTTGTTTACAGCGGAATGCAAAAAACTTGTTTCTTTTATAATAACCAATTAGTCATAACTTTTCAATTCAATATTAAAGTGGTAATCATGAATTCCTAAATGAAACATAAGATAGTTTTGATTCAAGGATAAGATGGTAAATTAATGTCAAATATTATGAGATTTGATAAAATAAAATAAAAAATTGTTTGACCATGGAGTCTACAATATTATAAATTATTATTCAAATCAAGAATTAGATAAAACCATTTACTTTATCCAACATTGTATCTGGCTTATTGGGATTTGATTGAATAGGTTTAGAATTTAAATCTAAACCAGTGCAATTCACCAGAGTTTTTCCAAACACACTTTGTAGGGATAAAATGTGAGGCTCCTAGGAACTTCACCGAAAGTAGAGGAATTGAAGGAGAAAAAAGACAGTTGTGTAAATGCTAATAATGAAGTTGATATACATAATATCCTACATGACACATGGCTTATTTGCAGCTTGTCACGTAACCCAATCAGTCGATTCCTTCTCTTCTTTTGTCCTCCTCTAGACTCGGACCACACATTCTCTCTCCTACATCTCTCTATGGAGGGAATTACTGGAAAAAAACCACGCTCACTTCAATCCTCTCTAATATCGTTTTTGTTCATCTTTATCTTCGTCTTCTAACAATTGACTCTAATTCGGGTTTGTCGAAAAAGTTCAGAAGAGCATTAATCCATGGCATGTATGAAGATTGGATCCAAATCTGAAGCATTTCACCGTGATGGCCAAACTTGGTGAGTGAAGAAATCCTCTTTTCTTCTAAATTTTTTCTTGTATCTACATTTTTCATGAAGATTATTTTTGAAGCAACTGATTGAACAAGGGTTAACACAGCAACATAAACAAAGAGAAAATGGGTTTGTGTTGCTTTCAATTTGGAATTTAAATACTTGGTGCAACATATTTACGTTTGGATTTGAAAGTTTGTTCTCTCAGTAGATTTTTACTCTTTTCTTTCTTTTCTTTTCTTTTTTTGTGAGAATGTGGTGAATTTTATTTATTTTTTCAAACCCACATGAAGACTTTAGATGGTGAATTGCTTTTGCAACTGGTATGCTCAATCATAGGGTAGGTGTTTTAGGATTGGAATCAGTACACCCAATTGAACCCAAATCAAGGGCTTCCTCTAAGATCTTTTCAATAGATGGATGACTAAATTGTTGTTTTCATAACAGCAGTCACAAACCATTACCAATGAATGCTATGAGTATGTGTCTGTCTCTATGTTATTATCGATTTCTCTCGACACTCAAATCATAGTTTTGTCCATTTACTACATTCAAATCCTAGTTTTTATTTTAATTAATGTCGTCAAATTTTATAGAAGGATAGAAATGCAAAGGGAATATGCGAGAAGTCATGGCTTATTTCAATGATTGGGGAATTATATTTGGTGAGGATCGGAGAACTGCAGAATTTGTTTTCGATTTGGAAGAAATGGTTCATTTGGAGATTTGGAGAATTTGACGTCGATTTAGTTTTTCATTTACTATGTTTTCTATGGATCATTTTCTTTTAGGAGGAACAATACTATACTATTTCTGATATGCTTGACTGTGAACTTTTTGCTTGGGATCCCCTAAAGAAATGCATTGGGAAAGGAGCCATTGATGGTGCAAAGGATTTTTTGGGAGTAAGTGATGTTCATTACATATATTTCTTAGGTACATTATATTTTTGAATGTGTGTTTGCTATACACTAAATTAACGCTCAAGGCTGGCTCAAAGGATAAGCAAATTAAACAGTCATTTTGGTCCCCGAATAAGAGGGGTCCCAGATCTTAGATACAAACTCATATGGAGTTGACTATGTTTGGCCCAAAAGGTATTTGGTACAAAGTAGGTCCAAGAAAATATAATATTTGGGAGGATCTAAAATAGGAAAAAACTCCTCTCTTTCTCACACTCTCATAAATGCTATCAGCGGGTTATAATACGCGTACAACTCTCTCTCTCTCTCTCTCTCTCTCTCTCACACACACACACACCTACACACACACAATTAATTGCAACTTACAATGCAATAAAAAAATGTATTTCCTACCCAAAAAAAAAAAACTATAGTGTTTACCTAGAAAAAATATCTATAGCTCTCATTTTTTCTATCTCTCCCTCATATTCCATCATATATGCAGAGATTTTAACTTCAAAAAAATACAAAATATATCATTTTGTCAAAACTAAATTTTTGAAATTATAAAACCACTTTAAGTGCTTGTTTAATTTTTTTTAAAAAAATCATTAGATGGTTAGTGTTTTAAAAGAATATTGTTTTATACTAGAGAATTTTAAAAATATAATCAATTTTCAAATGTATTGATTAGATTTATTTTTAAAATGAAAAGTCATAATACAAATTTTACAAATAAAAAATAGCTCTTCAATTGAAACATGAATATATATAAATGTCTAGATTACTTTTCAAATGTCTGTTTCTCTTATAGATTTTTTTTTAATAATATCCACAACAGTTACTTTTGTAGAAATATATATTTTCAAAACTAAGACTTTGAAATTGTACTGCAATCAACTATGTCAAAAAAAATTTAGATAAGTTATCTACTGAAAATGAGTTATTAGTGAAAATGAATACATGAGTTTAATTGGTATTTTTGCATCACTAAATGCAAAAAAAAAAAAAATTTAATTCTTTTTATAGTCACTTTTATATTTGTTTTATTAAATTTTGAAAGGGTTCCATTCAAAACTTTCGCATTTGGCCCTAATTTCCGTCAAGCCAGCCCTGTTAACGCGTGCTTGTAACTTGTACATGTAGGAAGATGATTTTGCTGCAAATTATTGTCTAGCTTTATGTCTAAACTTCAAATATTTTGTGATTATTTTCGAAAGAGATGAAGCAACTTCAAGCCATGAGGAAGGGGATAGTGTTGGTTCGTCCGCATTGGTCAATTCTACTAGGAAAGTGGATGTTATAGTTATCAATGATTGACTTCGTCCATGACCGTTATGAACATTGTTGTCGCTTACTTTTAATATTTGTATGTATTAGTATGTGTATTAAACTAGTAATTGTTATGAACCATTTTAATAATTAGGTCATTAAGCTTGTGGTGGTGTAGGAACAAATATATCATGTGTCCATGTAGCTTCAACTTAATTTTCAATTATGTTGCCTTCATTTTGTATTTATAATTCAAGCCAATAGTTAATATAGTCATATGTTTGAGTACGAAATATGAACCATGATTCCTTTATTTTATATATTTTTGTATAAGGCAACGATTGGTTAATGTTAATGTTTATGTAATTTCGGCGCTTGCATTCATATGTTATTTAATTTTATTATAATATTTTGGGTGAATCAAATATATTTGTAGTCGCCTTTTTAAAATTTGTTTATAGTGGAACGCAAAAAACTTATTTTTTTTATAATAACCAATTAGTCATAACTTTTCAATTCAATATTAAAGAGGTAATCACGAATTCCCGAGCGAAACATAAGATAGTTTTGATTCAAGTATAAGATGGTAAATTAATGTTAAATATTATGAGATTTGATATAAAAAAAAATTGTTTAACCATGGAATCTACAATATTATAAATTATTATTCAAATCAAGAATTAGATAAAACCATTTACTTTATCCCGGAGTTTTGCCAAACACCCCCTGTAGGGATAAAATGTGAGGCTCCTAGGAACTTCACCGAAAGCAGAGGAATTGAAGGAGAAGGAAGACAGTTGTGTAACTGTTGACAATAAAGTTGATATACATCATATCCTACCCGATACATGGCTTATTCGCAGCTTGTCACGTAACCCAGTTAGCCGATTCCTTCTCTTCTTTTGTCGTCCTCTAGACTTAGACCGCACATTCTCTCTCCTACATCTCTCTATGGAGAGAATTACCGGGAAAAAAACCAGACTCACTTCAATCTTCACTAATATCCTTTTTGTTCATCTTTATCTTGATCTTCTAACAATTGACCCTAATTCGGGTTTGTCGAAGAAGTTCAGAAGAGCATTAATCCATGGCGTGTATGAAGATTGGGTCCAAATCTAAAGCGTTTCACCATGATGGCCAAACTTGGTGAGCGAAGAAATCCTCTTTTCTTCTAAATTTTTTCTTGAATCTACATTTTTCATAAAGATTGTTTTTGAAGCAACTGATTGAACAAGGGTTAACACAGCAAAATAGACAAAGATACGATGGGTTTGTGTTGCTTTCAATTTGGAATTTAAAAACTCGGTGCAACATATTTACGTTTGGATTTGAAAGTATGTTCTCTCGGTAGATTTTTATTCTTTTGCTTTTTTTTTTTTTTTGTGAGAACATGGTGAAGTTTATTGATTTTTTCAAACCCACAAGAAGGCTTTAGCTGGTGAATTGCTTTTGCATGCTCAATCATAGGATAGATGTTTTAGGATTGGAATCAGTACACCCAATTGAACCCAAATCAAGGGGCTTCCTCTAAGATCTTTTCAATAGATGGATGATTGAATTGTTGTTTTCATAATAGTGGTCACAAACCATTACCAATGAACGCTATGAGTAGGTGTCTGTCTTTATGTTATTATCGATTTCTCGCGAAATTTATGTGGCTTACTTATTTACTGTATCTTCACGGGGTTTTAACACATCTATTTTCAGGCAATGCACAACTGGGCTTCCAAGTGATGTTACCATTGAGGTTGGAGAAATGTCCTTTCATCTCCACAAGGTGGATTTTATTCGGCTAAGTTCAACCTTTCAAATTATTTTGTGTGTTTGAGTTGATTTATGGTGCCTTTGTGCTTGGTTTTCTCTTTTTGTCTTTCCTTTCTTTCAACCAATATTTTAATTGATTCAACCTGGTTGATAACAAAAAATAGCATCAACTTAGTTGTATAATCCGGATGAAAGCTAAAACATTTTCTCAAGTTGGCATTTGATGCAGTTTCCTTTGCTGTCAAGAAGTGGGCTACTGGAAAAGCTTATTGGAGAATTTGCCGGTGATGATGGATCAGTTTGCATTTTGCGACTTGATGACATACCTGGTGGAGCCAAAGCATTTGAGCTCATAGCCAAATTCTGCTACGGTGTTAAAATAGAACTCACCGCTTTAAATGTGGTCAGCCTTAGATGTGCAGCGGAGTACCTTCACATGAGTGAAGATCATGGAGAGGAAAATCTCACTGCACAAACAGAGGCCTTCCTCAATGAAGTTTTTGGCAATTGGTCAGACACAGTAAAGGCTCTGAAAACTTGCGAAGAAGTTCTATCTTATGCAGAGGAGCTTCACATTATCTCAAGATGCATCAACTCCTTGGCAATGAAAGCTTGTTCCGATCCAACCTTATTTAATTGGCCTGTGTCAGAGTGCAATAACACTGAGAATAAATCCGGCAACCTCTTATGGAATGGAATATCTGCTTCAACAAAGCCACCTCCCATTGGTGATGACTGGTGGTATGAGGATGTGTCTTTCCTTGGTTTACCTCTCTACAGACGGCTTATCCACGCTGTGGAACCAGGAGGCATGAAGCCTGAGAATGTTGCTGGATCCCTCATGTTTTATGCTAAGAAATATATTCCATTGATGAATAGGCAACCAACTGCCCAGGATACAAACCAAGTTAAACCTGGCTCAACTCTGTCCAACCCTTCCGAGGCAGAACAGAGGGCTCTCCTTGAAGAGATTGTTGAGTTGCTTCCCAATCAGAGAGAAGTTACACCAACTAAGTTTCTACTCAGGCTGCTCCGCACTGCTATGATCTTACAGGCAAGTCCATCATGCAGAGAAAACTTGGAGAAAAGGGTGGGGGAACAATTAGATCAAGCTGCATTGGAAGATCTACTGATACCAAATATGGGCTACTCGGTGGAAACCTTATATGATATAGACTGCTTTCAGAGGATTCTTGATCATTTTGTATCAATGGACCAGCCCATGGCTGCAGCTTCTCCATGTATAGTTGACGAAGGGCAGTTGATAGAAGGGGCCCATTCGCTGGCATCAGTAACAATGGTGGCAAATCTGGTGGATGCATATCTTGCTGAAGTGGCACTGGATGTTAATTTGAAGTTCCCAAAATTCCAGTCACTTGGGGCTGCCATCCCTGATTATGCCAGGACAGGTTCTGATGGCATTTACCGCGCAATTGATATATTTCTGAAGGTAACAATTCTAAATCTCGTTCTTTCTATTTTTGTGAGCATTGTGAAATTTCGGAATTTTGGAATTGAAATGAAATGCTGGAAATTTGGGAATTGCATGGAAAACTGAAAAGTTTAGGCTTGCAGTAATTAGGCAGACGCTTGAATCTGTGTTTGTGGGTGGTTGGGTGTGTTCCTGAGAACACAGGCTGGGTTGCTGAAACTGATTTACAAAAAAAAGTTTCGTCCATTTTTTTAGTGAATGTATACTGGTATTATTTCTATGACTTCAGATGATCTTTGAATTTTTTTAGATCACCAATTGGCAGCGACAAAAAACAAGACGAAAAGCCATACTAAAACTTCCTGGGGGATTAGCATTCCTACTGTTCCCTTAATGTTTATTCTTCGTGATTTTATGGGCAGAATTTTGGGCATTTTTTTTGGTGAACATCTTCTATGGTAACAAATGCAAAGAATAATCTCTCGATAAATCTTTTATTAGATTATCGAATAATTTTGTACATAGCTTTGGAACATTCTGAAGAAGCACATGTTCTATAGCTGTTAGGATAGCCTAACAATGGATATCAAGTTCTCCACAGTATCTTCCATGTGAGACCCCCTTCAGCACATGGAGAGACAAAAAATATAAAACCAAATTTCGAACTGGCTGATGACATGGGGAACAAAGGTATGCTATGAGACTTGTATGTCATAGGAATGGATTTGTGTATTCCTTTCCTGTGTTTTGACCATGGATGAATCTTAACCTGTCATTTTGGTTCTAAGTTCTCTTGCTATAGTTTACTTGCAAAGACAAGTTCAACTCTAAAAGTTGGGTTCAAGAAAAATTGCAGGGAAATTACAAAAATTTAGATTCCGATTCTAGGATTTCGTGTTTGTAGACTACGTAGCTAGGTATCATTCATTTATCACTGATTCTAACCAGAAAAGTTATCGTCAATGAGCGTGCTAACACATTTTATAACTTCAGGCACATCCTTGGCTCACAGACTCTGAGCGAGAGCAAATTTGCAGACTCATGGACTGCCAGAAGCTTTCATTAGAAGCCAGCACACATGCAGCCCAGAATGAGAGGCTACCTCTCAGAGTGATTGTGCAAGTCCTATTCTTTGAGCAACTTCGCTTGCGTACATCAGTTTCTAGTTGGTTTTTTGTCCATGACAATCTTGAGAACTCGGAAAATCCCAATGTGGTTCTCGCACTCTCCAAAAATGATGCTTCCCACCACGAGGATGTTGTACAAGATAGAGGATCTGGTATGGAAGTTATGAAGGAGCGTGTTTCCGAGCTTGAAAAAGAGTGCCAGAGCATGAAACAGGAGATTCATAAGCTGGTGAAAACCAGGAGAAGTTGGAACATATTTTGCAGAAGAAAGTCACAGCACTGTCGATCTTTAGAATCAAAACCCTGCAAAATAACTGCCCCACTGTCCTCTGTTAATGAGCGACGAAATCATCAAAATGGTGAGTTGGGCAATTGAATTTGTGCAGCTCAAACTAAATGAATAACATAATTTTTATTTTTATTTTCTTTGGGATTGTTTTTAGCTGTTTACTACTCAGCTGCAGAACTTTTTTCTTATTTGATTAGTTATCAAAGTTTTTGTATTGTTGGTTGGTGGTTTTGATGATTTCTTTCATTGAAATTGGTTATTTGACCTCAAATGGCTGTTGCTTGCTTATTGTTGAATTGCTAGGGTACTGTGCACTGCATTTTTTTTTTTTTTTGCTATGGTTAATATGTAAGTGAATGTTTAAAGTGTAAGTAATTGGTTAAAATGTTTACTGTGATTCAAATATAACGTTTTTTCTGGACTGGGCTAATTGAACAAAATCTCCTGTATCTTATCACACCATGTGCACACGTCCATGCTTTACAATACTAGAAAATACTTTCAACAAGTAAAAAGGTTCTCTCTCTCTCTCTCTCCCTTATGTTTCACCATCATTTCAGAGTACTTGCTTTATGGTTTTCACACTTAAATCCAAACCAAAAGCCCATCAAGTGGAATCCTCAACTAACAACACTGCCTTTGGTTGTTACTGAGACCAGTGGTCCCCATCACCGCAATGAGCCACCTTCACTTGTGATATCAAACTGGGACCAAAGCTGCCTATCAAATTGTTCTGAACTGATAGCCCGTCGCCCTCAATAACGCGTCATCGCCCCATTCGTCAGGCAATTGACGGGCCACCCTTCTCTCCCCAAATCAAAGAAAGAGGCCCCTCTCTTCTCCTATCAATCAACTCTCCTAGACCCTCTTTCGGTTACTTGTCGTTGGTTGGATCTGTGTTGTCAGTTGCCTGTAATTCAAACCTCAACAACAAACAAGCACTTGAAAATTGGTTGAGATATGTCTGCGACATAATAGGCCCCCCTCTCTCTCCTCTTAATTGTCGGCACTAACATATTCTCGAAATTTCGATTTCAGTCCACGCACATGAATACATACATGAAGCATAACCATATTTGACTCCCTTTTAAGACGATGTAAACGCAAGAATTTTTGCATAAAATGATGAAGGGCAGCTAACCCCATCATGGGTGCTACCCTCCCCAAGATTGAGCCGGATTTGATTTTCAACGCCATTTCGTGCAGTCTCTTCCCGTTCTGATTGGATGATATTTCAAAAGTATTTGTACTAGTTCTCATTGTCTCTCTATATACACCAGGTAGGTTTATGATCACCATTGTCCTATGCTACTTGACGAGCCCAAATTTAAGTGGGACATGCCCAATTAATGAGTTAGACCCAAATCAGTTAGAAGGTGAGTCAAATTCAATTCATGGATTCGGCCTAGTCCAGAGTTCAAGGAATTCAGAATGATTAGAACATGTGGAGAGCAATTATCGAAATACTCACTCTCAAATATCAAGACAACTTTTAATTGTACTTACCTTTGTAGCTCCCCGAAGATCTAGTACATTTATCCTCACGTCACCGCCTCAACTAAGACTTTATGCCTATAAATTATAAATTCTCTCTACATGAGAGAAGACCTCTCTGCACACCCTACTCTCTCCTAGCTATTGTATCCCTCTTGGGACTAACAATTGCTCTATCTCTCATTCACCTTACTTAATCAATAAAAGGTCACCCGACTACTGTTGTTGTTTTTTGAAGTGAAATAGGTGACCCAAGCCGAACCACTATATATTTGCATATTAACCCAATAGTTACATTATTGTCATTGATTGCTGTAAGTGGTCAAAAAGCTCTCAGACCTCTTAGAAAGCTATGCAACTCCCACACTGGATTCAAATTCCTATAAATTAACAAACTGCCTAAGATCAAAGTGTTTCGATCGAAGGCACTCTAATACTTTAGTCAGTGAACGAAAAGAAAGAATTTAACTTTTGTTAGAAGGAAATTGCGTACCAATATTATCCTCCTTTGTTGGCTTATATAGTCTCCATCTAACTTATCGTTCTAGAAATAACCACCTATCCCATAAGATTCAATATTTTCTACTAGGTCCCTTCCTGATTTCCCGAACGTTCCCTCGATTGTAGCTTAGATTGATACGATCAGATTCCTTGACCATAGGCTTTGATAATGCCATTTAATTCCTATCTTCCTAACCGAGGGACTTCTGTTCGGCCCTCCTGCCGACCTGGTCAATTCACCTCGGGCTCTGTAGGGCGTAACCCCTCACGTGACCCTTGCGTGACCATTTACACGTGACATAACTTTTATGCCCCTTCACTTGCCTCCATGAAGCGAATGACAGTCGTCATTTGTCTGACAAACGCTTCATGTGCTCCAGGGTCATAATTGTCTAGGTTTTTGAGACACGTAACTGTCTCTTCTCATTGAATGCTTGTACTTTTGGCCTCTTGACTTCCTTTTTTTCCTTAATATAAAAATGTTTTAATTTTTACTTTCTATACTTTGCCTCATCTTCTTCTTCACTCCCTTACCTTCGAAGCTCTTCTTTCACACTCTACATCTTCCTTCGAATGGCTCCCCTTACAACCGAGGGCATTCCAGCGTTCAGAAGCAAATATAGTATCCCTGACGATGTCGATATCCAAGTTACAGGTAATGATGAGGCATTGGTTGGGACTAGGGAATCAATCCCTATCCATCCAAGGGCCATTATTGAAGGTGGGGTGAGATTCCCCTTGCATCCCCTACTACTTTGGGTCCTTGCAGCTACAAAACTGTGCCTCTTCCAGTGCTGCCCCAACTTTTTCAAGATCGTTATGGAGGTTGCAACTTTGAACAATCTTTTGAATATCAACTTGGGCCTTTGGGAGATTCTTTTCTACTTCATTCTGAAGACTACCAATGACAGTTATTATTTGGTAGTAAGGAGAAAAGACAGATATTTAGTCACCCACCTCCCAGATTCGAACAAAGGTCACGAAAACGATATCACATTCGTTTTCGGGAACTGGGATTACAGAGCTGGAGAAACACCTTTTTATCAATGCCCTTATAAGGAAGGTGCACCAGGTATATGATAGTTTGTGGCCAAGAACCTTTTTTTTTGGCATGCAAATACCTTACAGTCTTATGTTTTTCACATTCACATGTAGGAGAAACTGTTAAAGGCAAAATTGCTGAGAGTTCAGTAAATATGGAGGACCTGAAGAAGGTGTGGTCCTATAATGAGAACCTCTTTTGCCGAGCTGCTCATGTTTTATTAGGGTATACTCCTACATACCATTCATTCATTGTCATACCTGATCGGGCCAATGCTACTCTTGCCGAAGACCGAGCCGAACTCCAAGCTCAGCATGCCGCAACACCTCACGCATGTGAGAAGGCTACTACTACTCACTCTAGGCAGAGTAGGCCATCAAGAACTTCCTCAACCTTCTTTATGCTCGTGAGTCAGGTGAAGCTGCCTCTTCAATGTTGCTAGTCTAGACCGAAGCAACTTCTCAAAATACTCAACCTATCGAGTCAGTCTTGGTCCTGATCATGCCCCCAATCCCAACGAACTTCCAACCATCATTGAAGCTCTGGTTCCTTCTACAGTCAATCTTCCTACTGAATCAGAACCCGAAATGCCAACGGTAGATCCTTCCACTATTACTTTGATTCCTTCTTCTAAGCCTCCTGTTGATCACATCATAATCTCTTCTCCTCGGTTCATTGCTGCCAAGCCCGAGGAGCAATTGTCAAAAAGGAGACGGCTTGAATCTCCTGAAAGATTGAGGAATGTCTTTAGACCCATACTTCAAGCGAAAGGTAAGGAAATCATAATTCGGGACTCTGCTGCTGAATATATGAATGTGGCAGTAGGAATTACTAGGGGCGTGATACTGCCTCACGACTTTGCAATGAATGAGGCAGCTTCTGATGACGAGATTGCTAGGCAAGCCATTCAGCAAATGATTTTGGTATTTTCTTGGTTTCTTTCACTTTTTCAGTCTCATCTTCTCAATCTTTATTTTGTATACTGAAAATATTTTGTTTCAAAAAATAGGGTTGCAAAAGGTGTATAGGGTGAGCGCCAGAATTGCAAGCAATGACAAAGCAATGAAGGAAGCCATTCATGACTGCATATCTGCCCTAGCCAAGAAAGAATCTGTTGATGAAGAATATGCCAAGCTTTGTGAGGAAACACTTCTTCTTCAGGCTCAATCTCTTAGCCTGAAAGAGAAAAATGACAAGCTGACCAAAGAAGTGGAGGTTCTGAAGGCTTTTGAGAGTTCTCTTAGCCTGGATCTGTCACAAACTCAACTTGAGCACTCTTCTTTACTAGAGGAATTTAACAAGTTCAAGGCCAAGGTGAAGTGCCTTGAAGATGCCTCCTTTGATCAAGGAATGGAAAAGGCAGAAAGAGACCTTGCTATGCAGATTCCCACGCTGGAGAAGGCTTTTTTTGTGAAAGGTTGGGTTTCTCCTTTAAAGGCTGCCAGTATTTCAACTTCTTCTGGACTGTACTCACGTTACTCGATGCCAAGCTCTTCCAACACCCCTTCTGTTCTCTGAAAGAATCCATGTAAAAAGAAACAACTTTTGGCAATCATTAATGAAAAACTTGTTTTTGCTTGTGTTTCTTTACTTTAACTCTAACCAGTTTGGCTCTGCTCGGCTTGAGAGCTAGGTCTCAGCATGCTAGCTAGGGCCACATTTTAATTTGGAAAAAATACAGCTTAACAAGTTTGGGGCTAGTTCGGCCCTTCTTTGGGGCTAGGTCCCAGCACGCCTGCTTGGGACACATATTAAAATATTGTTTGGCAAGTTTAGGCCCAGTTCGGCCATTCTTTGGAACTAGGTCCAAGCACACTTGCTAAGGACACATTTTAACTTAGAAAAATATTGCTCGATAAGTTTGGATTCAGTTTGGCCTTTCTTATGAGATAGGTCCTAGAATGCCTGCTAGGGACACGTTTTAACTTAGAAAAATATTGCTTGATAAGTTTGGGCCCAGTTCGGCCCTTCTTATGAGCTAGGTCCCAACACGTCTGCTAGGGACACGTTTTAACTTAGAAAAATATTGCTCGATAAGTTTGGGCCCAAT